ACCTACCTTTTGAATCCAACCATCTTTCTGCCACACTAGACTGAATGCCTTCTCTTACATTGCAAAAAGGTTATCTGGGTCCTGAAAGAATTAGCAACCTGATATACAGAAGATGCAAAATGTAACAAGGTATTACCTAAGAGATGGAAAATTAAACATTGCCTTTAGACGTATATTTGAAAAGGAATACAGCTTTATTCCTGGAAGGGGAACTCCATAACTCTTCTTATAAGGACCTATATTACAAATGTATATTTCGGGAAGGGTGTAAACACTGTTTGCTTTAAAATGTCTTGCATCCTTTTTTTATTCACATGAATTGTTCCTATCCATCCATCCATCCATCCATCCATCCATCCATCCATCCATCCATCCATCTTTTTTTAAAGAGCTTGTCAAAGTGGGGTGGTTTTGCAACTAACACAAAGGCTTCAAAACTATGTCAGTCCAGCTGCTTGTTTTCTCTTGTTTTCAATCTGAGAGAAAAAAATCTGTTTTCTTGTTACTTGGGCTTCTTTTATTCCTCTGTTGCCTTTGGTTAAACTGAACTTGCAGTTTTCTTTAAACAATATAGCAATTTGGTAAACCTATTTATTAAAGGCAAAAGTGGGCAGCCCTCTTTCAAACCACTTTCAGTTAAAACAGCCACTAGGGAACCACTTTTTCCAGACTTAGATTTGTTTGTCTGTCTGATCCTTGGAAAGTGTGAGTCCTGCCTGTGGGTTCTACCAGGCATTGTCCTCATATTTTTTCCTTCTGCCTTTCCTAAAGAGAATTTAGAAGCTGAACTAAAGCAGTTCTCTGAGATAGCCAGGTATCTATTACACACGTCTATATCTACCTCATACATTATTGTTTCATTTCTTTTTCATACTCTGATTTTGTGATTGTTCTGGCTTGTAAATTCCTTGAATCAAAGGGTAACTTGCATGATGATCTCAGGAATTTTAAACGCTGGAAACTTATTTTTCCTTTTTTCAAAGAAGAGGTTTAGTGTTTTGGGATACTGTGTTTAGTCTCCAAACTCCCTTTTCCCCCAATTGTACGGTGCATTCGAGAGGTCATAGCATAGGGACAGCCTCAATCTAGACAATTCAGTGTGGAATGGTCAGTCTCTGATAACTTGTCTACACCATAAAGCTGAGTGCCAAATTTCTTTTATATTAATAACAGAAACAACGGAAATTGTATTCCGGCCTTTGTTTCAGGGCAGTTTTGGAGACAAATGGCATGATATGTAGTTTTTCTCTTGAAATTCTTTCCAAGCACCATACCCGTAAGCAAACTATGAACTAACATTGTCCAATTTATGTTTTTTTCCCCCCGTTTGATCTGCTTTCCACAGCAGACAGTAAAGCTAGGCCAGGGTATGATCTGTGCCCATCTTATACCTCATTCTCACCTTGCGTTATTGAATAGCAACCAAGGAGACATGCACATATCTCCAGGAGGAGAAATTCTAGGAAAATTTTTGAAGCAGGGTCTGGTCAGAGGTGGTGCTTCCAGGAAGCAAACTTTGAATAAAAGCATGGTTGACCTATTCCAACATTCTCTGGCATGCAATGACCAGTCAGTTATGGAGGGGGAACTTAAACGGAAGGGCAGTATGGTGATCTTGCTCCACTCATGATCTGGAGCAGCTGGTATTTAAGGAATGCTACTTGTGATTCAGGAGGTATGATATAGCTATTAATAACCCAGTCTTCTATCCATTGGTTTAACACTTTTTAAAAATCGTCTAAACTGATGGGCATCTCATCATATCTGACAGCAGAAAATTATGTTGCTTATTTATGTGTTGTGTGAGACTTTGAGCTAAAGGCAAGGGAGTTGGAAAGAGATTCAGCTATCATCACAGTCTCTACTAATGACAAAGCAGTGTTTCTCACCTTGGCAACTTGACGTGTGGACTTCAACTCCCAGAATTCCCCAGGCAGCATCGTCATCAAGTTGCCAAGGTTGAGAAACACTGATTTAAATTATCTTCATAGCTAACAGAGATCAATCCAGCCATCACTGAAGCGATATAAACTCTGTCCCCATTACTATTATTTTGACACAACAATGGTTGGATGACTCTAGAAGGAGGAATCAATTGCTAGTATGGAAATGACCTCCCTCAGGTCATCTACCAACACTTTCTCAGGAAGTGAGCCTGAGTGGGATTAGGAAATAGATTTCCTGCTTGCCAAATAGGTAGTACTTTGTTTTTCTGAAATGTCAAGATTCCCTGAGAAGAGTTGTATGGAAATGATATGAACGTCAGATTTAAGAATAGGGTGCCCCTGAGCAGATTCTGGGATGTAGCGTTTGTTTTTATTAATCAGTGCCAATGGATCCCATCTGCCCTTTCCGTGACAGCATAGTCTGAACGCAGTTGGAGATCATCCTGCGGAGAAAATAAAATTGAAGTAAATTCTAGTGAAATGTACCATCTAGGGGATATAGGAGGTACTGCAGTAATTCCCAGTTGCTATTAACCTGTGCCTTGCACATTTCTTGCCAGCATTGCTCAACCCATAAATTATGAAAACATCACTCCTGAATCCTCCTCCTCCTCCTCCAGCCTGCTTAACATGCCATCTTGCAAAGCAAAGACTTCACATTTTCTCATTATGCCCAGAAAATATTTAGTTTGGTTTGGTTACTGGTCTGCATCCTATTTATTTTACATAAAGTCCAACCTGAAGAATTCTGAGGAACATCAACATTTCTCAGTGCTTTGTGATGTTGCAGTTCATCTTGGTTAATGTGTTATTTTTAAAAGGAGTGACATGATGGCCTGTCAAAGTACTGGCTCACGGGTAGCATGATTAACTGGGCATGGGAAAGCAAGTGATATCTAAAGATCTCCAGGAAATAGGCTTCTAGATTTCATTAGCATAGAGGGTTGAACAAAGCTGTCTACACATCATGTTAAGCCATAACATTATTTATTTGAATTTGGCTTCTGTGAACCCAGTCACTGTGATTTATAAATATGGTTTATAGCCTAGGTCATTGTGGATTAACAATAATGGTTAAAATGAACCATGACCTAATCCAGATTAGAGAAATTGTTTAAAATAGGTTAAATTTATTGTTCAGATTTGGCCTTTTGTACTTCTGCAAACGAAAACCCACATGCTGCCAAGGGAATCGTGGGTTGTAAATTGCTTTTCAGTGCAGGATTAGGCTAGGAAATAGCTTGAATAGGCACCCTTCCTTCTTCCTAAGAATGTTGTAAGAAAGGATGAAGTCAAAAGCAGATTAAAAGAGACCCAGAGACCAGGATCTGGGGATCTGAAAACATCCTCAGATGCTAAAGTGTCCCTGTAGTATTGTAGGTACAGTATGTTCAAGCCAGATATCTCCAACCTACCACCCTTTAGATATGATGGGACTACAACTTTCAGAATTCCCATCAACATGGGCAACTCAGTTCTAGAACTTCAGTCCCAAAACATCTGGAGGATACTGTCTTGGAGAACTGAATCCTGTTCATATGGTTACGTGAGTTTTCAATTCTCTGCTGAGCAAGGTTTTGTTTTGCTTGGAGATCTCTGGTGGGTTATAGCCATTCTATATCTGCATGCACAGTATTTCACATGCAGAACAGGTTGAAGACAGATGGACGCAATCCACTTAAACCAGCCTTCCCCAAGTATAGTATATTACATCATGTTGGGTTGTCATGAACCACTTCTGAGGAACAAGGTGGTTGAAAAGTAATATACAAATATTGTTGAGCAAATAGAAAGAAGTAATCCACCTATTTTAAATATGAGGCAGACATGAAACATACATTCTATGGTCATGCCCTTACAAATCTCTGGACTATTTCTCTGCCCCCAACACATACACATATAAATTCTCTTTCCAGTTGAGCTTGATTTCTGGTGGCTTCATGCCCACATCATTGTAGTTTTCTTAGCAACAATATGGAAAGGCTCAGTCTTTGTCTTCTTCCAAAATGTTTTTCTTACAGTACTATCTAGTCCAGCCTTCAGCACTGGTATTTCCTGGTAGTCTCAAATACTAAACTGGTATTTCCTGGTTAGTCCCCAATACTAAACAAGTCTGAACTTGGTTAGTTTTTTGCAATCAGCCAGGGTTGGCTAGGCGCTATACAGGCATATGCAAAGAAATATAAAAAACCTACACTTTTTAAACCATTCAAAACACAACCTAATATGTGTTTAACAAAGACGAATGGGGCAGGTATCTTCAACTGGATTTTGAACTGAACGTGTGGCTTTTCATATGGAAAAAGTTCAAAGGATAGAAACCTCAGATGCTGTTTATGTTTAGCTTCCCCTGTAAAAAAATTATCTAGCTAACCACACTAAGCAACGGTCTATCATTACGCTGCAGTTTCAGACAGAAGCCCCGATTGGCTGATGCACAGGGAAGAGCATTTGAAATATTCTCAGAAAGCAAACAAATTGAAAGTAAGAAACACAATTCTCAACACTGCTACACAAAGCCATGTCTCCCATGCAAAGCCCATAAGTACATAAGAACACAAAAGTTAGGGCAGGGGCAAATATGAACACGCTGAGGCAGTATAAGTATGAATTCTTGAAACCTGATCTGCAAGAGGCTTGTTTTCAGTTCCACAGAAGGAATTTACTTATTTATAAATTCTCCCAAGTTTCCAAAGTAAGGTATACAAGCTCCATTCAGATTATCCACAGAAGACTGCTGAACAGCCAAGAATATCTGCATTTGGACCTGAAATATTTCTTTTTCCCCTTGGGAAAGAAAACTGAGGCTGTTTTGAGCAAGATTAAATGAACAAACTGGGTAAGAAAGACCTAGTTTAGGTTTTGTCATTTTCATAATATGGTATAATTTTTCCATACAGAAACAGTCATTATAGGCACTGAAACACAGGTTATCTCTTTTGGGAAGGAAGGAAGGGAGGGAGGGAGGGAGGGAGGGAGGGAGGGAGGGAGGGAATAATGGCTATAGTCAGTTATCCTACTTTAGCACCTTCCAGATATGGTGGGATACAACTCTTATTCAGCAGGGTTGAAGGATAATATAGAAACTTTGACTGAACCAGAACATATCTAGACCCTTGCTGTCTTATCAAGTTTTAAATAATATGTAGTAAATCTCATCCATGATTTGATTCATAAAAAAACCAAGATGAGTCATAACATGCTTTGGAACAATTTTATGGTCTACATTCTTTCATTCAGTGGTGATTTATCAAGGCCCCCTACCAATCTATCTTATGGGCAAACTTTCAAAGAAATCCTCAGGACATACATTTATTCCTCAGGACACCCAACAGACCTATCAAAATGCACGTGCTCTACACTTCATACTCTGATTAGGCAGTTATAACTAGGTCCAATTTCATCAAATGCATTTTTAAGTACTATTTTGGAACAACAGTTTTTTTCCCCCTGCAGGACATTTACAGAACAATTCTCATTACATTTTATACCGTAGAATTTACTCCTAGATAAATAGGCACAAAATTGTACCATTAGTACCCATCTTTTCCAAGGCCTCCTTAGAGTATCTGAACTGTGAGAGCAAACAAGTCTTAGCAGAGAAGATATTTCATTCTACATCCTGCCTTTCAGGACAAAAATCAGCATACCTCTATTGACTTCCATATGGAACTGCGTCAGCAGCCAGAACACACAATTTTCAATTGGTTATTATTTAAGAAAATGAGCTCCAGCAAAATTAAATAGAACAGCTACCTTTTGCACTACCAAAAGATTTGAAACATTTTCAAGGGGAGTCCCATATAGAGTGTAGTAGAATAATCTAATATAAAATCACTGAAAAATGAATGAGAATGGCCAGATCTGTTTTCCAGACCAGAAGCAGGCAGTGATAATTTTATCAGCCAAAATGTACTCTTAAGTCATGGATATAAACTTGATTTCCAGGAACTGTGTTGCAAATCAGGGCACGTACATTAGGCTACTGTACTCCTTTCCCAGAAATGAACGGTGAACAAGATTGCTCATCAAATAAACATTTATAGCCAAGCATGTCCAATAGAACTATTATCAAGGAGTCTGTGTTGCTCCAGCTGAACCTGAACAGGCACTCAGATCAAGCTTTGTATACAAGAAGAGTGCCTGTTGACGCTTGAATAAAGACATTACTTGAAGAACAGGTATTTAAGAAGCAGAACAGTAATCCTAGCAATAACAGAATGCTTAAGAATTAAGAGTTAAGCCAAGTTTGTAGATAATATATAGATGTGCTATACATCATCTGGCAGAACTGTCCATCTCTCATTTTATTGTTTTTATTGACTCCTAAAATAGGCCATGTGAACCAGTTGTGATTTTTCATAACTGCTTCTAGGCACAGTAATGAAAGTCTATGTCAATATTTGCTCAAACTTAAATCCTTACTCAAAAAATCTCAATCTCAATCTCTCTAACCTAGTTCTTCACACATTAAATTTCTATCCTGGAAAAGTCAACAAAATGTAGTTCATTTAGCTACTATTACAACTCATGGGTCAATTCAGACTTTTATTTTTATCTTTTTTAAAAAGTCATGAACTCAATAAATTACACAATAATTTCCCCCCTTAATAAATTCTTCACAAAATAAAATTTACAATTTATAAGAGAAAGTTTTGAAAATCTGCTCTCTTTTGAAGTGCTGATGAGTTATCTTGACTTTTGTGTTACGCTGGTGGATTGTTCTGTAGCCGCTACAATTGATTTCAAAGATTTTACAGGAAATCAAACCAAACACAAGCAACAACAAAAATCACACACACAGATTTCGGGTACAATTATTCAGTAGGTAATTAATGGAACAATCAAGTTAGCATTCAATGCCAACATGCTAAGCACCATGAAGAGAAGTGATCAGGGAGGTTTCCCCAACTTTAAAAATAAGAAACAAGTGCACTTTCAACATTAACTGTGTTACTGGGCAATATATAATTTGCTCTATTTGTAGATTTTGCACTGCACTAAAAAGTACATCCAATAATATATCCAAAATCTGAAAGGCTTGTTAAGTGCCAAGAAACTGTATGCAGTAATCAGATTAGTTAGGATATATAATGGTTGTGAGTTCCTGCTTTTTCTAGTATACAAGGACTGCCAAGATCCTACGGCTTGTATTCTTTTTGTTTGACACAAGTATTATATAACTGTTCAGCTGAACACAATGCCACTAAGCACAGGATAACCATAGAAGTGTCATCCTACGTGCAATGCAATTTCGTCTCTAAAGGCACAAATGGTGCTTTAAAGAATGAAGACGGTTGATCACTTTTAAACATTGATATTCTAATGTACAGAAGTCAAGCCTTTGTCTTATCCTCTCAGTTAAAGGACAGACGTTAACTGGATCCTCAGCTAAAATAATTTAGCACTGCAAGCCAGATAGACATATGCCACCCTAGTTGAAATCCTCTTAAAATATATCTCATTGAAACTTTAAGTTGTTAATGTAACATTTCTTTAAATGTTATTTTAGAGAAGATTTTAATGTTTTTTCCAAAATTGTATAAACTATTAAAGTTACAATCCTATGCATACTTACCTAAGAATAATTTTCACTGAACTCTGTGAGACTTGTTTCCTATTAGCAAGCATAGGATTATACTACATGTCAGATAACTACACCTTGAACAAAAGAACATGTATTTTTCAAGTTTAAGAAATATATCCCCTTGAATGCCCCTTGTTTAATGTGGACATAGCAGCTAAGGAGTAAACCAACACATTTTCTTATCTATTTTTCAGATCCTAGGCATATCAGACAGGGATTTTAAAGCATAATTTCTGCAGTGCTTCTTGTAAGAAAACATAGGGCAATTCCCTTTCTGGTTTCCAGGCTGTGGCTGATGGCATCAGGACAGTTTCAACCTGTACAATACAATGCTTTCAACAATAAAATGAAGACATATACAACACCACTTCCTCTTATGAAATTTATCTATTTACTCACAAATCAAAAGTTTTCATTTCTGTTTGCTGCACCAAGAGTGCAATCCTTTTTAATTGTATGTATGAACAAGATGCTGCAGCCTGCCAACCAAGTAACTTGGGAGAGAGGCAGGTTGCTGAGTGCTTCAGAAGAACAAAAAGAGGGAAAACCTCAGTTTAGCAATAAAGACTCCAGTTATGATCCAGTATAGTGGGCAACAGTAGTAATGGAACATCAGTGTGACACAGTGGTAGTGGAATGAATATTTAGGCCTCTGGTTGAGCCACTTGTACATGCTGCTGTCTGTACATGTGTTAGGAAAATAGTGCCCAACTTTCTATAACTTTCACCCAAAATGTATGGGGAAACAGAGGAAATGAATCTCTGCCAGACAACAAACTAAATTTTGAGGGAACCACACTGGAAGATTTTCAGAAAGATCTTCTTCCTTTTTTAAAAAAATAAAGTTTTTTTTTAAATTCCTGAATTAAAAGTAATAAGACTGAATATCAAATACAAAATATACGTGTGACCAGTAACTCTGGTCTACCAAATAACCATTTTGTTATCCTTGAAAAATGAAGCTAAATGCATCATGACAAAGTGTTGGCACCTGAACTGGAATGAGCCATCAGCATACTTAGTGAAACCTTCCAAACAAATGCAATCTTCCAAACTAAGATTTTCCCTACAGTGCTCAAATCAGAGGTTCCTAGTGCATCATACTGTAGATCTCATTTTGTGTCATCACACTGTTTTAAGGGGAAAAAAAGGAGAATGGACACAGAAGCTGGGGAATCAAAGGATGTGTCACAGTCATCCAATTCTATGAATCCTATAAATTTGGGACATATCTTTTCTGTACTGGAAGGGGTTACATCACCCATTATGACATAAATATATACACATTTACTCTACAAAGTTGAATGATTTGCATTACCAGCATGCAAGTCTTCTCCTTCAAGGGCATTCAAGATTCTGCAGTAAGAAATTGGAATGTTTGAAATATTCCATAAAATATTCCTAGAAAACCATTGCCTAACTTGTCAATTTTCCTGACAAGTTGGAAAGCTTATTACAAGTGTAATTTGGGAATATACATATTTGGATACTGAAACAAGAACAGCCACCTTTGCTTAGTTTACAAAAATAAAGAGAAATGCAATGGGGAAAACATATGGAACCCTGACACTTTAAATGTGGGTTAGTCTGGTTTTTGCTTCTATAAAATGCGGCACCATTGTTACACACACATTTCTGCCAAAAAGGCAAAGTACTTCAGAAGTCACGTGTCCCAACTGCTGTCTTTAAAAGCAATTTTGACTAACCGGAGTTCTAATTCAAAAGCATCTGGCCGGTCTTGTGGGTTAGCAGCAAGCATTTCCTTAATCAGCTGTTTCATGCGAGCATTCATTTTCTTTTTCTTAACGGGTATGAGTAATTCCATTTTTGGATTTTCCAGCAATGCCTCTCCAACAGGTACAATCTCAGTCCCTTGCTTCACATAACTCCCCAAGAGTTCTTTCTTTGTCTCTGTGTCTATGAAAGTGATCCTTTCTAACATTGCCCAGATTATAATCCCCAATGCAAAAATGTCTGCTTTGGCAGTGTAGTGGCCTTCCCAAACTTCAGGAGCCATGTAGAAGTCTGTGCCACAAGCTGTAGACAGAAAACATTTGTTTACATTCACAGGCTCTTCGGGATTTTGTCCTGATGCTGAACAAACCTTGCTTAGGCCAAAGTCAGCTACTTTCAAAGTAGGTTCCAAGTCACTAGCATCCATCCTGCTTTGAGAGATCAAGATGTTGTCAGGCTTGAGGTCACGGTGGATGATCTGATTTTTGTGCAGAAAAGCCAGGGCGCTGCTGAGCTGAAGCATAAAACTAGTGTTGGTCTTACGGCTGGGCTTTCGGGATAGGAGGTATTCATTCATATCACCTCCATCACAAAAATCCATCACAAACCAAAGATAGTAGGCACTTCTGGGATCAAAGGCAATTTCACCTTTCAAGGAGGTCTCTACAAGCTACAATACAAAGATATTTCATGTATATATTCAACAAGCATGATTCAAATAAAAAAACAGTTGTTGACTAAAAAAATGCCAGCTGCTTTTTTTTTAAAAAAACATTTGTATTAAAACTTTACTCAGACAATTATTGGAGTTGCTACCTCTCCCTTGATTATCACCTCCCATGAAAATGACAGACTATTTCAGACATCTAATATGGCTTACGTTAATAATAACAATTTATTAAATTTATATGGTGCCCAACTCATAGCAACTCTGGGCAGTTTGTTTGTTTGTTTATTGGATTTGTATGGCCACCCATCTCAAATAATGACTCTGGGCAGCTAACAATATTAAAAATAATAAAATATCACATAAAAACGCATAGTAAGCCAAGTAAATAATTTTTAAAAAGCATCATACAATCAACACAACCAGGAAATGGGCTCCATCTCACATCTGGGGCTCCAGGTTCAAGCACAGAACCAAGTCTTCAAGGCCTTGCAAAAGGCTAGCAGGGCTGGGGCTAATCTGATCTCTGGAGGGATGATATTCCAGAGGGCGGGTGCCACAGCAGAAAAGTCTCTCCTCCTGGGCCTGGCCAAATGCCACTCCCTAGCAGATGGGACCCAGAGCATGTTCCTCCTGCCAGACCAGATGGGACAGGTAGAAACAACCAGGGAGGGACATTCCCATAAGTAACCAGGCTTGAAGCCACGAAGAGCTTTTAAGGCGACTATCAGCACCTTGAATTGCATCCTTGGAAGCATACTGGTAGCCAATGCAGCTTGCAGAGCAGAGGTGTCATATGCACCAAATGACAAGTGCTCTTAACTGCCTGTGCCACTGCATTCTACACCAGATGAAGCTTCTGAAACCTATTCAAGGGCAGCCCCATGTAGAGCACATTGTTGTAGTCCAAACAGGAGGTTACTAGGGCATGGGTGACTGTAAGAAAGTCCTCCCGGTCCAGGAATGAGAACAACTGATGCACAACTCAAAGGACCCCCTAGTCACAGCTGCCACCTGCTCCTTGAGCAGGAGCTGCAAGTTCAGGAGGACCCCAAGATTGCACATCAGTCCTGTCTGAGGCAGTGCAACCCCACCCAGAACCAAAGATGGAAATCCCTGGAACCGGAGGGGCCCCAAAACCCAGAGCTACTTGGTCTTGCTAGGATTGAGCTGTTGTGCCCCATCCAGACCCCCACAGGCTCCAGGCACTGAGACAGAACCTCCATGGTATCACTCAGACAAGGTTTACAAATTGTTTAAAACATTACAAACGAGAAAAACAACAAAAGACAAAAATAAAGATGGCAAGAATAACAAAATCAGCGGGGAACAAAGGAAAACAACCCACACATTCTGAAGGAGACTTCACCGACTCTCACCAAAGGCCTGGGTGAAGAGTCAGGTCTTCAAGGCACTTAGAAACACCAGTGGGGGGGTGGGCCTTCAGCTCTTGGGGGGAACCTAATTCCAGAGGGCAGGCACTGTTACAGAGAAGGGGTGTTTCCAGGGTCCCAAGAAATGGCATTGTTTAATTCAAGGAACCCAGAGCATGCCAACCATGCCAGACTGAATCAGCCAAGCAGCTTTTATGGGAGAGAGGCAGTCCCTCAAGTAACCTGGCCCTATGACATGTAAGGCTTTATATAGTAGGTAATGACCAGTACCTTAAACTGCACCTGGAAGCAAATTGGCAACCACTGCAGCTCACAAAGCAGAGGTATTATATGGGCATACCAGGGCATGCCCATCACTATCTATGCCTATGCATTCTGGACCAGTTGAAGCTTCCAGGTCATCTTCAAGGGCATCCCCACGTACAGCACATTGCAGTAGTCAAGCTGTGAAGTATCAGGGCATGAATGACTGTCTAAAGGGCCCCCCAATCTAGGAAAATACTAGCTTCTAAATAAAAAGGTAAATCATAGTTTAGAATTCTTTACCTAATATCATTTTCCATTTGCTCAACATTTTCTGTTGTTTAGTGTAAGGGATTCTCATTTTTTTACCACAGTGCTATAGGCATCAGGTAGAAGCCACAATGACATCACTTATGTCATGATGTCATTGCAAAAATTATGAATTGCATTATTACACACTCCCCTGCAAATGCCCATATATGGTTTTTAAAGCTAGTCCAAGCTAACTGAATTTTATTGCCAGCTAACTGAAAATGATGGCTGTGTTTACACATTGTGCTAATCCAAAATGTCGTTAGTCTGGTTTGGGCTTAATATGAATTTACCCTTATGGCTTAGAAGTGATGGTTTATGGCTTAGTGTGTTGTGTAAATCAGACCTTTATGGCTTAATAAACCATAATTGTCCAGGTTCAATGATGTGCTAAGCCAAAACAAACAAAATCACATAACAGGCTGATAGCTTGTTCAACAAACTATGAATCAGCATAATTGCTGATTATAAACACTACAAACTATAGTTAGAAATTGCAGATTACTATTATGAGCATAAATGCCAAATGTAATTTATCCTTTGGTAATAAAACTTATTTAATGGACCACTGAGCACACCTTACTCTTTCCTTATTTGAATAACTGTGACCAAACTAACCTGAAAGAAAAATAAAATTGCACAGCTACAAAATAAAACGCTTTAGCTTTTTGTCTTCAAAGTTAATTTGAAATGTCCCCATCATATTTCTATATTCCATCAATGCATGCAATATATGTTGCTGAGCAGCTATTTCCACAATCTGCTTGGCATAAAAATAAAACTAATTTGTTTTCATAGACTTTCATAATTCTATGGCATGCTGGATAGGGAAGACAATTAAACCTAATATGAGAAGAACCTGGCCTATAAGAAAGTTTTTTTAAATGGCATTTTAAGAAGAGTACTTCTATTATTTTACTGGCGTTTTATTCTTGATGTTGTTAGCCTTGATACCTAAATTCTTGGAAATACTGAATTCAAAGAACAAAGCAAATTTCATCAGAGCTGATGAAGCTACTACTTACCACAGTGTTGATTTTTTGAAGTGGCCTCATATAAAAGCTATTAAAAGGATTATTAATGCACATTTTCCCAGTTGGAGAAATTTTTCCTTACAATGCTACAAACATTTCTGCCACATTAATAGTCTGCAATGTTGTAGCAGCATGTTGATACACCCAATTTTATTTTACTTATTATTTACCCAATTTCTGCTCAAACAAACACTCAAAGACAATTGAATGTCCTGGGAAGACCCAATGTTCTTCAGTATTGGGGCATACTCTTCAGTGGGGTGTACCTGAAGGTGCATGCTGCTTAGTGGCATGATTTTTGAAATATCTAAAACTGTATCAAATACAGAACAGCAAACATATTTCATCAATAGCAATCTCCATTTCACTGCTGCATAACCAAATAGCTGATCCTTTTTTTTATTTTTAATGCAATGTCTCTTTCATTACCTGCAGCTTCATTTACCTGTAAATAAAGTGAAGAGCTGGAACCATGGGACATCTTCTGAACCATGTCGTCTTTTTGCAATATGCATTCTTCCAAGTGGATAACATTTGGGTGTTGGCTTTTAATACTACTAAGTGCCCAGAACTCACGCAAGGCTAGTTCTACATTCTCTGGAGCATGACACCGAATTTTCTTCACCGCAACACGTGCAGAGGTTTTTCTCACTACTGCTTCATACACCACACCATAGCTGCCACGACCAACCTCCCTTATTAGATCGTATTTTGGCTGGCTACTCACCATCTTCAAGGTCAAGGTGTCTATGGAAAAAAACAAAAACAAAGATTTGTAGCTGATTTTTGTCTTTACACATCTTAATGTAAAAATGGAGTTTTTGTTAATCCAGCCACTGTAGCTGACAAAGCATGATTTATTGCTTAATATCTTGCACATCTCAAGCAATTAGTTTAGTCAATAAACTATTATTTAACAGAATGTATAAACTCAGCCATAGAATATACAGTGTCTATTCAATTGCTAGCTGTTAGAATTAAAGTCTTAAGCAGTTTGGTATTAGGTTACTTGAAGACCTTTTTGCAGCTACATGAACCTGTCAAGGCCTAATAATGGGCTTTGATACCTAGCTCACCTGACTGCAGGTACAACCTATCATTTCAGAGAACAGGAGAAAACAATTCTAGTGATAAAAACTATCATTGTAGAATTCCCTCCCTTAGAAAGCACATATGGATGATTTTAAATAGGGGTTTTACTGATCTGGTTACTGTAGCTGAAAAATGCAATAATTGCTATTTTATCGCTGACTTTGAATGTTTTATTATCCTACTATTTTTTTTCATATTTTGCAAGCCACCTTGAGGAACCTTTATATCCTAAAATGCAATATATATAAACAAACAAAACCTTATCACTGGCACCCAACTTTGCTACAATATCCTAATAATAGAGTAAATAATGCTGATTCTGGCAGTGACGATAGCTGTCCATATGAAGATACTACTGTTACTCCTGAACATTTAGTTGTATGTAAAAATACTATAGAGAAACAAAATACTCAGTTACATAAAGCCAGACACATAAAGATGCATGAAAGTATAAAACAAAGGTATACAAACTTTAACAGCCCAGAAATTGGCACCTTATTTTTTCTATGAAATGGACAAGACTGAATAAGAATTGTATAGGGGAAGATATGTTTTGGCTATAAGTATTTTTTTTTTCTTATAGTAGTAGGAAAACAGTGCTAAGACCACTTCACAGTAATCAAATGAAGCAAGGGATATTGCTAAACATCCTCCAATAAACAAGAAAAAAAGAAAGAAAGAGGAGAACATATTTCTCAGTCACCCTCTGGGGAGATGGCCGGCATATACATTTAATAAATAAATAAATAAAGCAAGCAAGCAAGCAAACACATAGTAAATTTGAGCAGAGAGCTGTGTTGGATAATTCATAGCAATTCAATAGCTTTCAGTAGCCGTTGAAAGTTACAGAAATACATAATGACAATTTTTATGTATGGCTCTGCTTCTACTCATCCCCTTTACCATTTAACTTTCCTCTTTTACCCATCTTCATAACCCCATTTTTAAATTAAATGTGTAAATAAGCTGGGTCAATCTGTACAGCAGTAAAACCTATTTTCTGAGTATATCTATTTAATGGACAGAATATCAACTTTCTCGCTCATACCTTTGCTGAGTTCTGAAAATTCTAGTAGGGGTAGCTAGAATTTTACCAGCCACATTCTAAAGATAACAATGGAGGTTTATAGTTGTTATGGAAATACCTTCTTAGAGGCAAAGTTGTTCAACCCACCAAAGGGCCTGATTCCACTGCTCATCTGAATTCCCTGACAGGCTGACGCTATGCCAGGTCGAGCATATCCTACTCTTATGAAGCAAAAGGAGCACCTGGGTGGAAGACGCCCAAATTTCTCTACTCCGTTCAGAAGGAGAACTGTCAGGAGCATATGAAATTAACCTGTTTACATCGCAAGCCCATGCGCGTTTGTTCTGGAATAGGCCCCATTGTATTCCACGGGGCGAGCTCGCTCTGCTGAAGCCCACGGAAAGGGAGCCCCCACTCTGCCCTGCGGGCCACATCACGGGGGGCTCCAAAGGCGCACCGAACGCTCCTGCACCGCCAAGCGGAACGATCGGCCCGCGGGCCGGTCCCCGCTGGAAGGGAAGAAGAAGAAAACGCTCCGTTGGGGTCGACCCCGCTGCTGAGGCCAGCGGGGGAAGCCCTTCACCGCGCGGGGATAAGCCAACGCCGCCGTTAAAGACCCGAGCCAGGAGGCCGAGCCACCGGGGGAAGCGCCAGAAGCTGGCCCGGGCCGAGAAG